ACACACACACATATATATATATATATATATATATATATAAGTATATTTAGAAAATATACATAAATTATCATGTAAATTTAGTTTAAATTTTAACTTCTTGTATTTGAATAATAATATTATACAACTATATATGGATTTTTTTTTATGTAGATTGATCAAATTAAGTATTTAAAATATAAAACATAAACTTGAAACATTAGAAATAATAGCAAAATTAAGTACGTCAATATGTCAAGATTCATCGTACTTTTACATTATGCAAATATTTTGTATTGACTTGAATACTTATTCTACACTATTGGATAAAAGTGAATATGCCTGATTCAAATTGTTTATATTTATTGTTTAATATGAGATAGATTAAGTTGATTAATATGTTACATATTAACCGTGATAAAGTAAAATATTAAAATTAAAATGCTAATAGGTATAACTCATTGTTCTATTAATTTTACAATAACTTTTAGGCAAAATAAACTTTACCATGTCCATATTATCATATCATTTTCAATTAAAATTTTAAACTTCATTATTTTTTGACAATGTGTTAGTGCAAATAAAAATATTTTATATATACTTTAGTCTTTGTATGTGCGTCTTCAACTCTTATTGATTTTAACTTGAAATATTTGTTCAATTAGCATTAAATTGATTGTTTTCAAACTTCCAAAACAAATATTTGTTGAGCCTCTTAGGCACAGTTGGATATAAATCCAACTAGTTTTGACCATTTTTGTTTGGTTAAAATTAAATAAAGTACGAAATTAGTCAACCGATCATAATCGATTAAGACCTCTTATAACTCATATCTAATCACACACTTTGTAATTTGTTTCTCATAGTAAATATATATGTATGATCATAGCCATATTTTACTTAATTATATAAATATACTTATATTTAAATTGAAATGTATATCATAAATAATATATCTTTGTCAAATCAACTTAATCACATATGCAAGTTCAATTAGATAAATTATATGATTACGTGCACTTGCTAGTTATTTAAAAGCAATGAAAACTCAACCACAATATAGCAGAAATCTTAATAACAAGGCTAGTTTGAAACAGAGACCAATTTACAAGTACATCAACAGACTGATAGTGTTTCAACAATCAACAGTAGCATGCAGTCATAAGCATAACTGAGTTTCTGAGAGGTCCCTACAGATTGAACTGAAACAAAGTCTCAAACTTACTGCCAAATTATAGCTGCTACATCAGTGAAGTCTTCAATTTTTGACCTCAGACACATTTAAATACACACACACACACACACACACACACACACACACACACACACCTGATCAACAACAACACAACACAGAAGGTTTTAAAACCTTTTTACCTGATAAACAAACATGCTGATCAGCCCCCAATCCTCATCACAACCTTTGCCTGCTTCAACTGCTTAACAACCTCAGACATGGTCGGCCTCCTCCACGGCTCGTCACTCGTGCACGACCTCGCAATCGAAAGTACACGTAAAATCTGATCCTTCCACATGACTAACCCCGAAAAGCACGGGTCGGCAATTTTATCCTCCCTCCCATTTGCAACCATCCACCTGACCCACCCGACTAGATTCCCTCCTTCCACGTCAGCCTGTCCTACGGGAGCTCTCCCAGTCACGAGCTCGAGCATCACCACTCCAAAGCTGTACACATCTCCCTTAGTCGTGGCCACCATGGCTTGCCCGTACTCCGGCGGTATATAACCGAACGTCCCGGCCAGCACAGTCGATACGTGGCTCTCGCATGCGCTTATTATACGGGCCAGCCCGAAATCCGACACGCGGGCATCGAAGTTCCTGTCGAGGAGTATGTTACTGGACTTGATGTCCCTGTGGATTATGTGAGGGACGAATCCGTGGTGCAGAAAGGCGAGCCCGCGGGCCGAGCCGAGACAGATCTTGAAGCGGGTCGGCCAGTCGAGACACCTGACAGCGTCTGACTGGTTCCTCAGCCAGAAGTCGAGGCTCCCGTTTTCCATGTATTCGTAAATCAAGAACCTCTCGTCCACAAACACGCAGTAGCCGAGCAGCGGGACGAGGTTCTCGTGCTTGACCTTCCCAATGGTCTCCATCTCGGCAAGAAACTCGCGTTCGCCGTGCAAGTGGCTACCGTTGAGCCTTTTCACAGCTAATACACGTCCGCCTGGTAAACACGCTCTGTACACCGTGCCGAACCCGCCGTCCCCAATAATGTAGCTCTTGCTGAAATTTTCGGTGGCCGACGAGATATCGGCAGCTTTTATCCTCAACAGAGAGTGCTCGAAAGTCGCAACGTTAATGCTCAAGGGCTCCTTTGTTTTTTTCTTTACAAGAAGCTCCTCACGGGATGTCGGCTCACGTGAAGTCGTTACCTGCTTACACCTCATGCTGTCGGTAGATAAGTTTTGAGTGTTGTTGCATTTTCGGAGAAGACTGATCAGTAAAAGAACAAAAACAGCTATGCTGCCAAATGCAATACCAAACAGCGAGGCACGTGTTAAAATCAAACTAGACAGGGAGATATGCCTCTTGGAAAGAAATGTGGGGCTCATAATGCACGGTGTTTTATCAACGCAAGAATTCGGGAACAGGCCAGTGAAGCTGTTTCCAGAGAAATTGGCAAACATGAGGCCTTGTATTGTACAGATGTTGCAGGGAAAGGTGTCATGAAAATTGTTTGCCGATATATCGAGATAAGTCAAGTCAGCAAGGTTCGAGAGCGATTCTGGTACGTGTCCATCGATCATGTTGTTGTGGAGGTCTAACACGGATAGAGATGCTAGATTTGAGATAGAGTCATCAATTATGCCGCTTAACTGGTTGTTGCTCACGTTCAGAACCAAGAGGGTACTCGTGCCATTGATGTTAATGTTTAGGATGCCCGAAAGAGAATTCTTGCTGAGATCCAAATATGTCAAATGTTTTAAGATAAATAGAGAAGATGGCAGTGGACCTGTGAAGCAGTTACTCGACAGATCAAGTTTGGCTAGACTCGACGGTCTTGACCAGCTTTTATCAGGAATTAAGCCTTCTAACCGATTATGCGAGAGTATGAGTCCTTGAAGGTTCTTCATCGAGAACAACCGGGGAAAAACTGGACCGGATAGAAAGTTGAACGAGAGGTCGATCAATGTTAAGTTTGGGAGTGATGCTATCTCGTCAGGGATGCCCCCGTTAAGCTTATTTCCCTGCAAACGGATTTCTTTCACGACAAAGCAATGTCCGATTGCAGGAGGAATGGGGCCCTCAAGTTTGTTGTACGACAGATCAAGCAACCCGTAATGCTGGACGTACTCAGAGTCCGGCAAAGGTACCATCTGAAAACCGGAGCATATCTCCTCGGGTAATGGACCAGAAAGTTTGTTATCCGAGAGAACCAAGTTGTCCAGCAATTTCCATTCGGATATCAATTTTGGTATCTGGCCCACAAGTTCATTTGCACCCAGATCCACAGATACGAGCTTCGTGCACTCAAAAAGCTCCAACGGTATGTATCCGGATAGCTTATTACCATGCAGGGACAGATTAGTAAGATTCTTGAGCTTGCCGATGCCAGCAGGGATGTTTCCTCTGAATAAATTATTGTCCAGTTTCAACCTCTCCAGCGTCGAGATTTTGGCAACTGCTTCTGATAATGTGCCTTCAAGCAAATTATCATCCAATGAGATCGCCAAAAGCGTTTGTGAATCCCAGAGCTGATCCGGAATCTCGCCTGAGAGTCTGTTCATTGATAGTTCCAAGTTGATTAGCTGAAGTTTCCCGAGGTAGCCCGGAAGTTCCCCAGAGATATTATTTTCAGACAAGATCAGGTCCATGAGGTTCAGACAGTCCTTGAAAGCATTCCCAATAGTGCCAGAAAAGTTGTTGTGGGATAACAATAGAGTGTTCAGTGTCGTGGCATTGCATATGTCAGCCGGAAGCTCACCCGATAGCATGTTAGCGCTGGCATCCAAAAGCGAGAGTGAAGGGAGGTTAAGCGGCGGTAGGGGCCCACTGAACAAGTTCTGTGAGATAATCAGAGATTGAACTTTCTTCCAGTTTGAAATCCATGCAGGAACAGGACCCGAAAAACGGTTTGTGTTGAGGTTGAATGAATTGATCGAATCTAACCGTGCCAGGCTGTCGGGTAATGGGCCATTCAATGAATTGAAAGACAAATCAATAGTTCTGAGCTTCTGGCAGCCACCTAACTCAGAGGGTATTTGTCCAGCTAGCCCGGAGTTTGAAGCAATGAGGTAGACAAGATTAACTAGTCTCCCGATACTCGAAGGAAGGTCTCCACTAAAATCATTATGTGCCAAGTTCAGATAAGTCAAGCTCTTCAGCTTTGAAATTCCTTCTGGAACACTTCCAGAAAATCCACAGCTCTGTAGATTAAGTACCCTGAGACCTTTCAAATCTCCAATCAGGGACGGTATAGTTCCAGAAAAGGAATTGAAAGAAAGGTCTAGAATTTGAAGCTTCCTCAGTTTTCTAATCTGATGTAACAGAGGACCTGTAAAACTGTTCTGTCGAGCAGTGAAGAACAAGAGCCTCGTGAGATTACCGAAACTTGTTGGTGGAGCCCCTGAGAAGATGTTGTTACTTATGTCTAGGGACTGTATTTGATGTAAGAATCCAACTTCTTCTGGGAGATTGCCGGAAAATGAGTTAGAATGTAGAGACAGTTCCCGAAGCTCTGTAAGTCGAACAATTGTAGACGGTAACCTGCCTGAAAAATTGTTTTCGTCGAGAATAAGTTGTCTGAGGCACTTCAGATTACCCATACTGTCAGGTAGTGTTCCTGACAATTTGTTGTCACTAAGATCAAGAACTTCCAAATTCTCCAAATCCCAAAGCCCCGGAAAAATCTGACCGGTAAAGCCACAGTGGCTGAGATTAAGGAGCTTAAGGGACGTGAACTGACTAATAATCCGAGGAAACGGAAGATTCAGAGGTGATGCTGTGAATGACAAATCTATTTCGTTCACTAATAGACCTTCACATCGGATTCCAGTCCAATTGCATGGAGAAGAAGTCTCGGAGCTGAACCAACTAGAAACGGCTTCTTTTTTACCGATAAATGAGTCCCTAAGAGCCATCAACAGCGGTGTGTTATCAATCAGATTCTCTCCTTTGGTTAGTGGTGAATGACAGAAGCAGACGAGCACAAAGAGTACGAGGATGCAAGAGAATTTCCATCTCAGGAGTTGTTTCGCCGTTGTATGCATGATTAAGAAGCACAGCCTTTTTATTTCTGTACTTGCTGAAGATGACACTGCTAGGGAAATAAAATGACTTCAAATGATTCTCTTCAAGATAAACAGAAGGTAAAGGTATTATACACCAGTATAATGATTGTGAACACCTAAACAAAGATGAGTTTAATTACCAGCATTACAAAGAAAAGACGATACCGAACATCGAATTGTATAATTGCAAGAAAAAAATCACTTAACTAAATGAGAAACTAGAGAAACCCACATATGCTGGAGTTAATCTGGCACAAATACAAACAAGTGAGGTATTCACCTCTCACTTACAATGCAGAGTAGCAGAAAGTTTAAAATGCAAACAAACTACAAAATGCCACAGTGCTCGGAATAAACTCGAAGAAGAAAAGGAAAATGAAAACAAGGCAAGTAAATAGTTCACAGTTAGAATAATTTTGCTTCAAAAATACAAGAGAATGTCACATATATTACACACACACACACACACACACACAGAGAGAGACTAATATGGTTTGGAAAAGAAAAGCCTTCAGAGGAGAAAGGTAAAGAAAAAAATAGTGGACAAAACAAAAAAATCTGATGGGTTTCGAATAAATTAATGAAAACAACTTTTGTCTGCGTTGCCTGTGATGAAATCGAAACATGAGAAAAAAGCTGCCAACTTTGATATTCTTTAGCCACACAGATTAGCATAGAACTCGAGACAGATTTTAATTCATACCAATTAACAAATTCAAGTCCTATCAACTCAACATGCACTAATCCCACAAATAAAAGCCCAAAGGAAAATGATTGGTTGAGATCTGCTGTATGTTCTTTCATTCCTTAAAACACACAAAAAGCCAGGACATAAAAACACAAGAAACGAAAACGTATGTACATGAAAAAAAGCTACCCTGTTCTGTAGACTTCTGCAAGAACCAATTTTGCCACAAGGGTCTTAACCAGAATGTTCTTGATTTATTGCCCCACTGAAAATCAAAAGAAAAAAAAGAAGAAGAAAAAAATGAGTTAAATGAAGAGAAATAAAAGGAAAAGAAGTTAAGAAGCCATTAATGTTACCTTCCTGTAAAGCACTTTTGCTCATGAATCACAAACAAGATGACACACACAAATAACAGTTTTGAACAAGGTGGGACACACACAAACACACACAGATACATATAGATATATGTATGTATACATGTATATATCACTTTCAAAATCACATTTTTTCAGTGAAACTAGGATTTGATTCGATGGTGGGGGCGTGAGAGAGAGAAGAGGAAGTAAGTACACAGAGTCCTTCACATTGTACTCAATGATGTGTGTGTGTGTGTGTGTGTGTGTGTGTTTTGTTATAAGAGAAGGAGGGTGGTGTGAGGGGCGTGAGCTAAAGCTGCCAGAATATGCTGAGTTTTTTTTTTTCTCTTTTTTT